ATTCCTTCGCTTTCAGAAGACTGTCATCTTTGCCTTTGTTGTTTTTTGTTTTCTGTATGAAACAAACTGTTGGCTGCCTGGTCTGAACGAGGAAGACACGAACAGCACTCAACCCCCTTGGAATATGACCAAAGGTAGAAGAAGTTTCACATCGCAACGCCTCAAGCGTCAAGTGTCTAATGATGACTGTTGTGTCAAGAAGGCGCTTATCTACAATGGAAGAATCACGTATCAGTGTCGGACTGAGCATCCTGATTGTTTTAGTAAATCTGATCCTGGCAGTAAGTTATTTGGACTGTGTGAAACTGTGAGGAACAGTAAGAAAGTTGTGATTGCTTGTCGATGCGCCGCTAGAATATAGCCGAGGAAGTTATGTAGAAATTTAATGATATTTCTTTCTTTTGACTAGAAACTTGTCCTGAAGAATGTCATCGCTGTAAATGGTTCAACGTTTTAATTTTGCTAAAGAATTGTGTATAAAATATAATTAAACGAAATAAAGTTCAAAGCCTCAGCTCATGTCAAATAGTAAGATTTTCGAACTTTAAGGAATGCTGTCAATAAATTGTCCTCAAGTTTGAACTCTAGTGGGAAAAATCAACGCAAATGAAAAACCACGGAAAATGGAAAATTAATTTGAACTTTCAAGCTCCTATGATTTTCTATGACTTTCCCTTTTATCGTGTCTTTTATTTTTCTCTTTTATCTACTTAAAGGGTATGTTAACACAAAAATCGTACATTTTCTTTTCATATGGCTGTTTAGAAAATATATCAAGAACACCAAAGGTGTAATTCGTTTTTTCTCAAAAAGTCCATTTTCCCCTTGCAAAAGCTCATTTAAATTCGAAGCAATTGCCTTTTTCCTGTGACGTCACGGGTGGAACCTTCCGGTAGCGGAGGTCAACAGCGCTTGAGATACCTTTGAGTCTCCTTTTCATTCCTTGTTTGCCAGTCTCGTCACGATTTTTATACTTATAATTTGGTTACATATATTCAGTTTTTCGTAATGGTAAAGCATTGTGTTGTCCAGTTTTGTAGTAATTCAAACAAAACAATGCATAAATTTCCAAAAGAATCATATTTGAAGCGACAAAGGGATAAATTTGTTCAAGTGAAAAGGGCCAGTTTCGTCGAGCCGTCCAAAAATTCTGTTTTTCGTAGCAGTCATTTCTTACCTGATTCTTTTGAGAAAAACTACAAGGAGGAAGTTAAGTGGGACTTAAAAGAGTTGCTGGTCCCGGTGCTGCACTGACGATTCAGGCCCTACCAGAAACAGGTTCTTCTTAAATAAACTGAAGCGACCAGTGCGGTCAGCAGAACGCGAGGGCCCGAAGGTGGCCGATTGAACTGAGAAACGACCGAGGAGAAGTAGAGCTCTCCAAAATTTAAGGGTAAGAAAGGGAGACAAACAAGAAATTCCTAAAAACCTCTGAAACTGTCAACCTTTTTGCAGCCAAGTCAGCTCGCCATTAAAGCGTCTCAAATTCATACTAACATCCGTGACAACGAATGCAAAACCCTGCCAGCTCTTGCTAGACTTATTCAAAAGATGGATGCGCCTCCAAAATACCTTTCACGGACAAAACAAAGGACCAAATTCGTCTCATATCGAACTGGATGCCACCGGTTTACCCTTCATAACACAACCAGCAGAGATGACTTGTCTAAGCCATCATGAAAAGAATTTGTAACGCAATGAGGTAAAGCTCTTAAAGAGTTAAATGGTTGAATTAATTGGCTCTCATTGCAGGACATGTCAGAGGAAAATGAATCAGTGAGAGAGTGTGTGAATGAGTGAGTTATCGAGTAAATAAGTGAGAAATTGATTAGGCGAGTGACTGAGTGACTGACTGAGTGAGTGAGAAAGTGACAGAGGAAGTGACTGAATGAGAAAACGAAAGAGGAAGTGAAGAGTGAGTAGGTGAGAGAATGAGAAAAGGAGATAGGAAGTGACTGAGTGAGTAATTGAGCAAGTGAAAGAGGAAGTGAGTGAGGAAGAGAGAAAGAGAGAGAGGAAGTGATTGAGTGAAAGAGTCAGAAAATGACTGAGTGACTTAGAAAGTGAGAGAGAGACTGAGAGAGCAAGCGAGGAAGTGTGAGAGAGAGAGAGAGTGAGTAGAGTCAGAGTATGATCGGGTCATTGATTCATTTGGTGAGTAAGAAAGTGAGTGAGAGAATGAGTGAGTGAGTGAGTGAGTGAGTGAGTGAGTGAGTAGGCAGGGGAGAAAGTAAGTGAGTGAGTGTCATGGGGTCATAACCGAGTCAATAAGTGAGTTAGTGGTTAAAAAACTGAGTGAGTGTGAATGTAAGAGGGAGTACTTGGGTCATTGAGCTTGATTGAGTCAAGGAGTCAGCGGATGACTGAGCATACTTCGCTGGCACGGTTATAAAAATCTAAAAAATGACAATTTTTATATTCTGCCCTTTGTAATATTATAAAGATTAATGTTGTTTTCTTTGATCTTATATTGGCAACGTTTCCACACAAAAACAGCCTAATCCAACCAGTTTAGAGCGTAACCGTTTGACGTACTTGTGTTAGCTAGTGTTATTCTTTCTGTGACTACCACTTTACATAGAAGCGGAAAAGGTAATTGTTACAAAAGAAGCCAATCAGGTAAAATTCTATGGGCAAGAAGTGCTATTTCAAAGCGGGAAACGTGGGAAGAATAAATTGAGTTACTTTTAGAGAGGGTGGGGTTAGGAGGTGGGGATGGAGCGGCGTTGGATTATTTGCGTGGCGGATATGAACAACTTTTCACTACTGCACTTTCTCCCTGACCTGGGTGTTAGTAGTTAGTAGTAGTAGTAGTTCTTTATTTAATGAGACACCACCCTTAGCTACACGTTACTTTCCAGGAAGCCCACAACAAAATATTCAATAAAAAATTACAACCTACACTAAGAATCATGTACATGAAGTAAAATATTATTACAAAAAGGAAATCGCAAATTTAAATATAAATTTGTATACATGTGTAGTAAAAAGAGATAAAAAAACTAAACACTTAAAATTTTAGGCGACGGATATCGTAAAGAAACGTTCTTGTGCCAGCCTTTGCGCGTATAGCATCTGGTAGCGCGTTCCAAGTCTTAGCAGCAAAACTGTGACGAAATGACTAAAGACCATGCTTGGTACTGTTAACCTGTACAATTCCTTGCATTCTTAGTTTGGAAAAGGTAGTAGAATCCTCGAAGATTCTTCCTATTAGATTTTATATCTGATGAGATCGGAAGTACTGCGTATTATCCTAACTTTCGAAATTTGTTCTGTCAAAATGCCCCCCGTTAGTTTCTATGACCGATACATCGATATCAATGATATACAGGAACATATGTACACCTGCAAAGTGGTACATTCTCATCCTCCCTCTATCTACAATAATGTAACAGGTCTGTAATAAACAAATAAATTGTACAAATCATGTTGGTTTTTTACGCAGTTTTTGTAAAATAGGAATTGTTAAATATCGAAAATATGTCACTGAGCATTGAAGTTTCTGTTAGTGTGGAAAGCAATGAATGTTTAATAAGTGCTATTGTTTGTAATGTTAGTATCGTGGGTAATAGTTATGTCGGAAATATTGGTATATAAGTAGAGGACTTGTGGTTTTCAGTTCAAAAAAGAACAAGAAATGTTTAAAATTATTTATTCTAGATGCTGTTTCTGACAGGAAAGGTTTCTTTTTGTTCTATTTTGTTTTTCAGCTGTTTAGCAATGGAAAATTCACACAAAGAAATCTTTAAGAAGAAATAGCAGGTTTACAAGAAATAAATCAATTGATAACATACATGTGGCAGCTTTAAGTTTCTCTTTGTTTGAATAAACCTCGATATATCCTTTTGCAAGTTGCATATTTAGGAAAATGGGAAATCCCCAGGTCTTAAATGCTCTCTCTAACGATCTTTGACGTCAAACCATTACAATTTTTTTTGATAATAATAGCCTTTCCTTGTTTGGTCCATGGGTATCGTTGATCAGGGAAATTACATGCATTGTAATGGTGCAATGGATAGGAAAAATATTCCTTTTTGATGAGAGACTATAAAAGGCTATAGCTTCTAGGAGAGGAACATCATTCCAAACTGCAGTGAAATCAGAGAGAAAAAGTGTCTTCACTACCTGTGGATTAATCAAGTTCTGAGTAGGAACAAAATGATTTCCAAGGTACGATGTCTTGAAAGTAGACCATACATATATTTAATAACTCCTTTATAAAGCAGGCGATAAGTCAAGTTCAATGCACAGATGCCATGTGCTTCAATTTTTCTTATAGCAGTGATTTTAACTTAAACATTATCACCTTGAACAGCTGCAATGATTTTTTTCAAAGTATTTTGCCGGCGTTTGTAAGGGAAGCCTATGAACAGAAGTATGATAAGTACTTCCACGAAAACATGCTTAACTTGACAATTAAAACCGATTTGATAAAATCCTAATATACAGTAACAATTAAAAGGTTTTCTCTCGCAAACTTGAAATGAAAATCAACACCGGTTCAAGGTGATACACACATTCCTGATGGTGCATTTCTTTGCTTTCTCAAGGTTGCTATCTTTGCCTTTGTTGTTTGCTGTTTCCTGTACGAAACAAGTTGCTGGCCGCAAGGTCTGAAGGAGAAACTCCTCAACTCCAACAAGTCACCTTGGAATACAACGCAGATTGATGCCTCAAGAAGTTTTATTTCACAACGAGTCAAGCGCCACTCATCTAACGATGACTGTTGTGTCAAGGAGAGCTTTATCGACAACGGACGAATCACATATCGATGTAGAAGCGAGCATCCCGATTGTTTTAGCAAATCTGATCCTACTAGTAACCTATTTGGGCAATGTGAAACTGTGAGAGACAGTAGGTATAGTGTGATTGCTTGTCGATGCGCCGCTAAAAAATAGCTGGAAAAGTTTCTTGAATTACCAGATGTTCTATCATTTTTACTATATCTTTTGATAATTATTTTTTTTCTGGCAGCCAAACTTAAAGTAGAATATTGAAAATGATTCGAAAAGAAAGGTGTTATTAAATGATTGACATTAAGACATTATTGTTACGTGGTTTTTAAGGATTGTGAAATAAAGAGTTGAAATAAAATTTGTAGTCTCAACTGCAGAATAGTTAATCACGAATTGATATCACAATGAATGTCCTATATAGTCTTTAATTTTTAACTGTTGCCAGTAAAATGTCAGCCACATCACAAACCGGGACTTTTACAGTTTGAGTTAAATCATGATGGAGCGAAGAGCAATTTGTTTCTAGTTCCCCTTTGTTCATAAATTTTCCTGTTTTCCTCTTCCTTGGTCATTCTCAGTATTAGGGGACTTTGCACAACCACGACAGTCGTCACAGTTTAACAACTTGACCCAATTAAAATATTTTCCAATGTTTCCTTCGTTTCACTTACTCCTTGATCAGTATGTGAGTACTAAAAACGCAGCAGAAGCATGCGTAATTACCAGAAAACGCAAATCGATGGAGATATAAAATCAGTGAAATAGTAGCCTTTGTGGCTTTTGTTTTTGCGATTGAACGTGTAATCCCATCCGTCTTCATATGCCACAAAGTAGAGTAGACCTTATTCATGACGTGTGCTAATTGCTCATCACAGATCACGTGAAATCTTTAAGAGGCTGAATGCTTTGCCTGATAAGATTTGAAGGGTGAATTTAAGTACGTGACGTTTAATCAATTTTTTACATTGATAAATCGGTCTCTCGAACAGGGTCTCATTATCTGTAATGGGATACACACACGTTTTAAAGATGCAGCCGTGCAGCACAATGACAGCCGCCAATCACAAAAAATTTAGGAATAAAAATAGTTTCTACACTAAACAAGGGAAAAGTTTGCGGCATCTGATTTCCTGAAACAACTTGAAAGGGTGATTACGCACTCAATCTTGATTTGACCATTTTTGACAAAAGTTCTTGAAAAGTCAGTCGAGCAAAAATATTACGGGTACTCAGCCGGAAGACGTCAACCAAGATCAAAATTTATTCATTTTGCAAAATATAGGTTTTTGCACAAATAAGGTTGAAATTCTCAAAACGCTTCGAGGTGTAACCACTGGATTTCATTGATGCATTTTCAGGCGATACTATGCGTTACTTACCTTAGCCGGTATAGTTTCTTACGGGAATCAACGTGGAAGGGATAACTATTTGTGAAAACCACGAACAGTTTTATTATTCTTCACATATATTTGTAAATGTTTTTTGCTAATTTAGATAACGAAAGACACGTGGAAACAACAGTTATTTTGATTGTGCTTCAACCACGCAAAGAGGACGAAGCATGGAAGCTAAAAGAGAAAGACCTGTGGTATTCACTCTACAGAGATCGCACAATCATTGTTAATAATGGTGGAGAATCGTAAATCAAATTATTCCGATGCAGAGAAGACAACAATAGATAGGCATTACGGCCTTTTGTATTCCTTTATCTTTAGACTTTAATTAAGAACTTCCTCTGAAAAGGATGTTCAAGATCAGTGAGGGTTACTTTCCTATTTTTTAGCAGCGCATCGACAAGCAATTACATCATTTTCACTGTCCCTCACAGATTCGTACTTCCCAAAATTAGGGCTTTTAGGACTCGATTTAGTAAAACAATCAGGATCCTCGCTACTACACTGAGACTTGATTTTTCCGTTTTGTACTATCTACCTCTTGACACAGCAGTTATCTTCACGGTAGTTTGGACGTGACTCGGCATAAATTCCCATTGGAGAGTTGTGCTTAGGAACACGGCCCTGAGATGATCTGTAGAAGTCTCTGAGAACCACCTTGTCCAAATTCTGTCGCTGGCAAAATGCTGCAATGCTCACCAAAAGGATGAAAATCACAATTGCCTACTTGGAAAAGTTACAACCAAAAGAAAATCACCCAATGATCTGAGATCACTGCTCTCAGTTATTAAAATAGTTATCAATGCGTTCTCGCAATTCTCTTACAGTAACTACGTAACTTAACAGCTCAGACTTGAAAAATTTTACTCCATTTCAAATATCTGGTCTATTAAAAGTTGAAACGGTAATGGCTCCTGTTATTGCCTTTCTGATAAGGTTCATTATCCCTAGCTCCGACGAAGTGCTAACGCTCGAAACGGAAGCTTTTATAACCGTAATAGTGGCCAATTTACCATTTCAATTTCCTTTCTTCTAGAGTGATTTTCCAATTAATCATTCTTATTGCAAAAATCAC